GGAACATATAATCTCTTCCCATAACCAAACCATCGCCAGAGAAATCCTAGTAAACAACACAGAAATCATCGATAGATACAGCGATAGCAGGCGGCTTGACGTTTGCGAGGCACTACACATCAAGAAGTCAACACCAGCAATCAACAGCCAATTATTGCACAACTATATTCTACCCACCTCAAGACTCCGCTCCAATATAGAAGCATCAAGAAATATGGACCAATAGGCTTTCTACAAACATTTCTATTCAATATCCATTGTTTCGTGTTCTGTCTTGTGTTGATACTTTTAATACCCTATTAATATCCTCTAATGCCACATCATCCTTCCCACCTCACTCAAATGTAATGCCACATCACCCTTCCCACCTCACTCAAAAGTAGATATAAAATCAGGGAAATGCAAGTTCTAATCAGTTGTGTATTTGTGAAGTCTTTGAAAATGTAATAAGTTTACGAAACGCGCCCGTGTCGCGTCAGACTAGAAATAAAAATGAATTTTGGAGAAGTGATTTTTGATTTACCTCCAACAGTGAAGCATAATGTACGAAAGATTGAGAAAATTCGTGTTAGAATTATTAATCTTACTTTTTCGGTCATATTTAATAAAATATATATATATATATATATATATATATATATATATATATATATATATATATATATATATACACACATATATATATAATTGTCTGTGTGTGTGTGTGTGTGTGTGTAATAACCTAAATGTCTAAGTGTAGTTACAGGATGAGAGCTACGCTCGTGGTGTCCCGTCTTCCCAGTACTCTTTGTCGTATAACACTTTGAAACTACTGACGGTTTTGGCCTCCACCACCTTCTCACTCAACCGTCTACCACTATGTGTGCAAAGGAAAACTTTCTAATAATTTTTTCGGCACGTTTGTGTTCTTAGCTTGAATCTGTTCTCTTGAAGTTGCTGGTTTCAGAAATTCCTCTTTGTCAATTTGGTCGATTGCTGTTAGTATTTTGTATATGGTGATCATATAACCTCTTTTGTGTGTGTGTGTAATTACCTAAGTGTAATTACACACACACACACACGAAAAAGAGGTGATATGATCATAACTAACACACACCTGTTATTATTTTGTGTGTGTGTGTGTGTGTGTGTGTGTGTGTGTGTGTGTGTGTGTGCGCGCGCGCGCGCGAGTTTGTACTCACCTAGTTGTGCTTGCGGGGGTTGAAATTTAGCTCTTTGGTCCTAGTTTCATTACCTTACATTTACTTGGGTTGAATTTTAGTAGCCATTTATTGGACCATTCATTCAGTTTGTTTAGGTCATCTTGTAGCCTCATACTATCTTCCTCCGTTTTACTCCTCCTCATAATGTTTGAATCATCCGCAAACATTGAGAGGAACGAATCTATTCCCTCTGGGAGATCATTTACATATATCAGGAACAGTATAGGTCCAAGAACTGATCCCTGAGGAACTCCACTGGTGACGCCTCGCCACTCCGAGACCTCACCCCTCACAGTGACTCGCTGTCTTCTGTTGCTTAGGTACTCTGTTATCCAGTGGAGTATCTTCCCTTTCACTCCAGCCTGCATCTCTAGTTTGTGCACCAATGTCTTAAGTGGTACTGTGTCAAAGGCTTTCTGGCATTCCAAAAAAATGCAGTCTGCCCAGCCCTCTTTTTCTTGCCTGGTCATAGAATTCAATCAATCCTGTGAGGCATGATCTGCCATCCCTGAACCCATGCTGATGTTTTGATACAAAGCTCTTCCGCTCCAATTGTTCCACTAGTTTTTTTTTCGCACAATCTTTTCCATCAGCTTGCATGGTATGCAGGTTAGGGACACTGGCCTGTAGTTCAGTGCCTCCTGTCTATCACCCTTCTTGTATATCGGGACTACATTGGCGCCTTCCAAGTTTTTGGCAGTTTACCTGTCACCAGTGATTTGTTATACACTCTGGAGAGTGGCAGGCGCAGTGATTCAGCTCCTTCCTTCAATATCAAAGGTGAGATTCCATCCGGGCCTATAGCCTTTGTCACTTCCAACCTTAGCAGATGCTTCCTCACCTCCCCATTGGTAATCACAAACTCATCTAGTGGTGTTTGGTTAGATCTTCTCTCTCCTATCTATGGGACTTCCTCTTGCTCTACTGTGAAGACCTCCTGAAATTTCTTATTGAGTTCCTCGCACACCTCCTTGTCGTTTGTAGTGAATTCGTCTGCCCCTATCCTCAGTTTCATTACCTGTTTCTTCACTGATGTGGCTGTGCAGCAATTAAGGTTGAGACTTTGCCTTGCTTGCTATGTTGCTTTCATATTGTCTTTCTGCCAGAAATTTTAGCCAAATATCCCCAGTTTGCTAACTGTAGGTAGTAACTAAGTGATTGTAACCTATCCACCGCTGCCCACTGGATGGGGGGCGGTGTGCAGGACAAACATATCAATTTTGACACTAGCTCTCCACATATGTCAGTTGCTTAATTTAGAACCTGTACTTGTGGTCGATCTCGAACCCATTGTTAATGTGACGACTTATATTGAATTTTGTAACTAGCTCATCAAGATTGTAAGTTGCTTAGCTAAATGAATTGTGTTGGTCAGTCCCTGAGCCCATTATGTACCTCTGTAACCCTTTCCACTACCGCCCACAAGGTGGGTATGGGGTGCATAATAAATGAACTAAACTAAACTTCTCACCCTAACGTATTCATTCCTGGCACTCTGTTATCTTTCTCTGCTCACTAGTGTCATATTATTTCTGTAGTTTCTCCACGCCCTTTTACTTATCTGCTTTGCTAGCGTTCATCTCTGATTAAACCATGGGTTTCGCGTCTGCATTTCATTTCTTTCCTTTTGGACTGGGACGAACTTGTCTGCTGCCTCTTTACACTTCTGTGTGATGTAGTCCATCATGTCTTGGGCCGACTTTCCTCTGAGCTCTGTTTCCCCAAGTTATATCTGTTAGGAATTTTCTTATCTCCTCATAATTTTCCCTTTCGGAATGCCAGCCTTTTGTTTTCTGGTCCTTTCTTTGAGTACATTAACCCTACTTCGACCAGATACTCAAACATCAGTACGCTGGGATTTGTTTGTACGTTTGTTAGTGTGTGTGTGTGTGTGTGTGTGTGTGTGTGTGTGTGTGTGTGTGTGTGTGTGTGTGTGCGTGCGTGTGTGCGTGTGTGTGTATATTCACCTAGTTGTGCTTGCGGGGGTTGAAGTCTGGCTCTTTGGTCGCGCCTTTCGACTGTCAATCAACTGGTGTACAGGTTCCTGAGCCTATTGGGCTCTATCATATCTACATTTGAAACTGTGTATGGAGTCAGCCTCCACCACAACACTACTTAATGCATTCCATTTGTTAACTACTCTGACACTGAAAAAATTCTTCCTAACGTCTCTGTGGCTCATCTGAGTACTAAGTTTCCACCTGTGTCCCCTTGTTCGTGTTCCACCTGCGCTAAAGAGTTTGTCTTTGTCCACCCTGTCAATTCCCATGAGAATTTTGTAGTGGTTATCATGTCTTCCCTTACTCTTCTGTTTTCCAGTGTTGTGAGGTTCAGCTCCCTTAGCCTTTCATTGTAACTCATTCCTCTCAGTTCCGGGACCAGTCTGGTGGCATACCTCTGAATGTACGTGTGTGTGTGTGTGTGTGTGTGTGTGTGTGTGTGTGTGTGTGTGTGTGTGTGTGTGTGTGTGTGTGTGTGTGTGTGAGGTGTACATGTCTCTCATGGGAGTGACTGGGTGGAGAGCCACACAAAACTCGCATACTTGAACCTGATACGCAGTTTATCATGCTAATTTTAATGTAAATCAGCACCCACGGTCCGCCGCATTGTGGAGTGCCAGAGAACGCCAGAATATCTCCTCCTTTCCTCGACGAGAAAATATGCGAGATTTAGACAATGTCTTTTCCCCCCGAGAGATAAATTCTACCACAAACATCAAGAACCAAGTTACTTGTCATTTTCTTCCCTGTCTTCATGTGTTCAAGTTCAATTTACCCAGTGTTCAAATGTTGATATGATGAATATTGTTTGAAGAAATCCACAAGGGTCTTATCTTCAGATGATTTCGGGGCTTAGCGTCCCCGAGGCCCGGTCCTCGACCAGCTCTCCACCCCCAGGAAGCAGCCCGTAGCAGCTGTCTAATTCCCAGGTATCTATTTACTGCTAGGTGAACAGGCATCAGGGAGAATGAAATTCTACCCATTTGTTTCCGCCTCCACCGGGGATCGAACTAGGAACCTTTGGACTACGAATCCCGAGCGCTGTCCACTCAGCTGCCAGGCCTTATTGAGGATTCGAACCTATGCACTGGATGTTCCCAGACGCGCTCTAGTCAGCTGTACCACAACATGATTAAAAAGATATCGCTGTATCTATCGATAGCGATAGCAGGCGGCTTGATATCTGCGAGGCACTACACATTAAGAAGTCAACACCAGCAATCAACAGCCAATTAATGCACAACTGTATTCTACCCACTTCAAGACTCCGCACCAATATAGAAGCATCAAGAAATAAGGGCCAATAGGCCCTTTGCAGTTACTTCCATTCTTCCCTTTAACTTACAAAATATTATACCCATTGTTTCGTGTTCTGTCTTGTGTTGAAAGTTTGTTTTCACCTCATCCAAAACTGTTGTAACATATCACCTCACCCAAATGCAGGTATAAAATCGAAGCTGTTTAAACTCTGTTTAGTTATAGTTGTGTGTGTGTAAACTAAAGTCTTTGAAAATGTAATAAGTTATTACGAAACGCGTTCAAGGGTCGCGTCAGACTAGAAATAAAAATGAATTTTGGAGAATTGATTTTTCAATTACCATCAACAGTGAAAAGAACCATAAGAAATATTGAGAAAATTCGTGTTAGAATTGTTAATCTTACTTTTTCGGTCATATTAAATATATATATATATATATATATATATATATATATATATATATATATATATATATATATATATATATATATATATATATATATATCCACCCCCCGCGTGGATAATAGTGAGTGTGAGGAAATGCCGAAGGTACGTTCCCAAAATTAACAGCTAATGATAAAATACGGTTGACATTATTGCAATCATTGCACCGACTATAATACAACAATGTAATAAAGGTGCTGTTGTTACACCTTTCTTAACAACAAATAATTCTACCGACTCTCTAATATCTTCTACTTTAATATAAGATTTTGTTTTAGAATGATTCTGGTGCTGAGTATCTGTGGTTGATATCCTGCCAGGCTTGGTCATGGGTTGGGAGGCCTTTTTAATTGAGCACCACAGCATAGCAAAGCAAAACAATGCAGGTCTGGTAAGTGCTGCATCCTAGGCTACAAAAAGTGCATGCTAGGCTAGGTTATAAAAGTGCTGCTAGGCTAAGCTATAACAGTGCTGCTAGACTAAGCTATAACAGTGCTGCTAGACTAAGCTATAACAGTGCTGCTAGACTAAGCTATAACAGTGCTGCAAGGCTAAGCTATAACAGTGCTGCTAGACTAAGCTATAACAGTGCTGCTAGGCTAAGCTATAACAGTGCTGCTAGACTAAGCTATAACAGTGCTGCTAGGCTAAGCTATAACAGTGCTGCTAGGCTAAGCTATAACAGTGCTGCTAGGCTAAGCTATAACAGTCCTGCTAGGCTAAGCTATAACAGTCCTGCTAGGCTAAGCTATAACAGTGCTGCTAGACTAACCTATAACAGTACTGCTAGGCTAAGCTATAACAGTCCTGCTAGGCTAAGCTATAACAGTGTTGCTAGGCTAAGCTATAACAGTGCTGCTAGGCTAAGCTATAACAGTGCTGCTAGGCTAAGCTATAACAGTGCTGCTAGGCTAACCTATAACAGTCCTGCTAGGCTAAGCTATAACAGTGCTGCTAGACTAACCTATAACAGTACTGCTAGGCTAAGCTATAACAGTCCTGCTAGGCTAAGCTATAACAGTGCTGCTAGGCTAAGCTATAAGAGTGCTGCTAGGCTAAGCTATAACAGTGCTGCTAGGCTAAGCTATAAGAGTGCTGCTAGGCTAAGCTATAACAGTGCTGCTAGGCTAAGCTATAACAGTACTGCTAGGCTAAGCTATAACAGTGCTGCTAGGCTAAGCTATAACAGTGCTGCTAGGCTAAGCTATAACAGTGCTGCTAGGCTAAGCTATAACAGTGCTGCAAGGCTAAGCTATAACAGTGCTGCTAGACTAAGCTATAACAGTGCTAGCTAAGGTGCTGCTAGGCTAGCTATAACAGTGCTGCTAGGCTAAGCTATAACAGTGCTGCTAGGCTAAGCTATAACAGTGCTGCTAGGCTAAGCTATAACAGTGCTGCAAGGCTAAGCTATAACAGTACTGCTAGACTAAGCTATAAAAGTGCTGCTAGGCTAAGCTATAACAGTGCTGCAAGGCTAAGCTATAACAGTGCTGCTAGACTAAGCTATAACAGTGCTGCTAGGCTAAGCTATAACAGTGCTGCAAGGCTAAGCTATAACAGTGCTGCTAGACTAAGCTATAACAGTGCTGCTAGACTAAGCTATAACAGTGCTGCTAGACTAAGCTATAAAAGTGCTGCTAGGCTAAGCTATAACAGTGCTGCAAGGCTAAGCTATAACAGTGCTGCTAGACTAAGCTATAACAGTGCTGCTAGGCTAAGCTATAACAGTGCTGCTAGGCTAAGCTATAACAGTCCTGCTAGACTAAGCTATAACAGTCCTGCTAGACTAAGCTATAACAGTCCTGCTAGGCTAACCTATAACAGTCCTGCTAAACTAAGCTATAACAGTGCTGCTAGACTAACCTATAACAGTACTGCTAGGCTAAGCTATAACAGTCCTGCTAGGCTAAGCTATAACAGTCCTGCTAGGCTAACCTATAACAGTCCTGCTAAACTAAGCTATAACAGTGATGCTAGACTAAGCTATAACAGTACTGCTAGGCTAAGCTATAACAGTGCTGCTAGGCTAAGCTATAACAGTGCTGCTAGGCTAAGCTATAACAGTGCTGCTAGGCTAAGCTATAACAGTGCTGCTAGGCTAAGCTATAACAGTGCTGCTAGGCTAAGCTATAACAGTGCTGCTAGGCTAAGCTATAACAGTCCTGCTAAACTAAGCTATAACAGTGCTGCTAGACTAAGCTATAACAGTGCTGCTAGGCTAAGCTATAACAGTCCTGCTAGACTAAGCTATAACAGTCCTGCTAGACTAAGCTATAACAGTCCTGCTAGACTAAGCTATAACAGTCCTGCTAGGCTAAGCTATAACAGTGCTGCTAGGCTAAGCTATAACAGTCCTGCTAGACTAACCTATAACAGTACTGCTAGGCTAAGCTATAACAGTCCTGCTAGGCTAAGCTATAACAGTGCTGCTAGGCTAAGCTATAACAGTCCTGCTAGGCTAAGCTATAACAGTCCTGCTAGGCTAACCTATAACAGTCCTGCTAAACTAAGCTATAACAGTCCTGCTAAACTTAGCTATAACCGTGCTGCTAGACTAAGCTATAACAGTGCTGCTAGGCTAAGCTATAACAGTCCTGCTAAACTAAGCTATAACAGTCCTGCTAAACTAAGCTATAACCGTGCTGCTAAACTAAGCTATAACAGTCCTGCTAAACTAAGCTATAACAGTGCTGCTAGACTAAGCTATAACAGTGCTGCTAGGCTAAGCTATAACAGTACTGCTAGGCTAAGCTATAACAGTCCTGCTAGGCTAACCTATAACAGTCCTGCTAAACTAAGCTATAACAGTCCTGCTAAACTAAGCTATAACAGTGCTGCTAGACTAAGCTATAACAGTGCTGCTAGGCTAAGCTATAACAGTACTGCTAGGCTAGTGTACAGCCTCGTCAAGTTAGGTATACAAAGCCACGTGACAAGTCGCCTGCGCTAATCAACTTGATTGCATCATGAGGATGTACTCAAGCCTCTCTTCTCTTGGTGTGCCTCAACGTGCGTAATACAACGTGCTACTTTAACCAGAAACGGACAAACCCGAGCCACCCACCTAACCTAACCAAACCTAACCTAACCTTCCGATGCATTAAAACAAACGTGGGTGTTTGGGAGCGCTGCTTTCAATAGTACTTTGTAAATTGTACGTTGGGGGAGCATGGCTTACAAATTAGCACATATTAGTTAAGGGGGAAATGTGAGCGAGGGGAAACAATGGGAGATGTGGTTTTACTTCCATATATAAACCCATTAAAAACCCATTAACTCAACTGTGTGACCACAACCTGTGACGTAACTGTATTCACCTGGTTGTGCTTGCGGGGGTTGAGCTCTGGCTCTTTCGGCCCGCCTCTCAACTGTCAATTAACCTTTTCTTTTCACACACACACACACACACACACACACACACACACACACACACACACACACACACACACACACACACACACACACACACACACAAACACACACACAGGAAGCATCTCGTAGCAGCTGTCTAACTCACAGGTACCTATTTACTGCTAGGTGAACAAGAGCATTAGAGTGAAAGAAACTCTAGCCATTTGTTTTCCCCTTTCGCCGGGGATCGATCCCCGGATCCTAGAATTACGACTGCCGAGCGCTGTCCACTCAGCCGTCAGGGCCCCCAAATGGCCGGATTTCTATATCCATGCAGTCGGCTGGCGCGCACACACACACACACCCATCACAGCCAGGTTGATCATGTATACATACTGTAGTGACTCGTTCTGCTCATTCTTGAAGTGACGGAATGTAACTGTATAATGTATCATAGTTTAATCATATTTATCTATAATCGTATTTATTTTTAATCGTATTTATCATTGTTCTTTGGCTAACAACTTGCCATGTTCTTAACTTGTGGATAACAGTTCTTTGTGTAAGGGAGCCGGTCGGCCGAGCGGACAGCACGCTGGACTTGTGATCCTGTGGTCCTGGGTTCGATCCCAGGCGTCGGCGAGAAACAATGGGCAGAGTTTCTTTCACCCTGATGCCCCTGTTACCTAGCAGTAAAATAGGTACCTGGGTGTTAGTCAGCTGTCACGGGCTGCTTCCTGGGGGTGGAGGCCTGGTCGAGGACCGGGCCGCGGGGACACTAAAGCCCCGAAATTATCTCAAGATAACCTCTCAAGAAGATAACCCTGACGCGGCACCAGCGGGAGATTCGAGGCCTGACGGCTGAGTGGACAGCGCTTGAGATTCGTAGTCCTAAGGTTCCGGGTTCGATCCCCGGCGGAGGCGGAAACAAATTGGCAGAGTTTCTTTCACCCCTGATGCCCCTGTTCATCTAGCAGTAAATAGGTACCTGGGAGTTAGACAGCTGCTACGGGCTGCTTCCTGGGGTGTGTGTAACAAAAAGGAGGCCTGGTCGAGGACCGGGCCGTGGTGACGCTAAGCCCCGAAATCATTTCAAGATAACCTCAAGAAGGCTCTCACCTTCGACATGTCAAAGCCGCCTGCGGACACAATGTTTTCTGGTGAGAATTGTCCAATAAGGAGTTTTGTCCAGCGTTCCTTAGTCTGCATCTTCCTCCCTGACTTGCTGTACACAACAGTTTCCAACACCTCCCTTCTTCTCTTCCTCATTTCTCTCTCTCTCTCTCTCTCTCTCTCTCTCTCTCTCTCTCTCTCTCTCTCTCTCTCTCTCTCTCTCTCTCTCTCTCTCTCTCTCTCTCTCTTCTTTTTAGTTTTTGGTTTGCTCGTGTGTATATGAGCGTCTAAGCTTCCCTTCCTCAACCATTATTTGCCTTACTGCTTCCCTCTCTATGTTCCCCCCATTTCTTTCCCTCTCTCTCTATCCTAACCCTCCATTCCTCCGTCGGTACCTCCCATCCCCCACCCATCCCTCCCACCCTAGCTACCGCCCAGCCTCTCTCCCTCACTCTCCCTCCCTCTCTCCCATCACCCACAACACCGATGCTAAGCAAATTACAGTTATCTGAGGCGCCATAACTCAGCGCCAGCCAATACCTCTGTCTCGCCTCTATGGATACTGTAATCTTCCTAGTTAATGTTTGCCTGTTTGACTAGCCACGTGAACCTGTACACCCCCCCCTTTTCTGCCTGTATCT